GATATCGTCTTTGTTATGAATTAGCATTGTAATACCTAATTTCAAAAGCCATAATATTATTATGTCTGCTAGAGTTTATTTTATGAAAAGGGTAAAAGACTGTAAAGATGTGTCTATAATGTCTGCGCAAGATGAACAGTGAAGACAGACAAGTTTACTCTGTTTGTATACTGCAATTTTCTTGTTTTACAACCGTATGCAGTCAAAACATAAACAAACAAAGTATGAACATATAGCAGACGAAACTCTTACAGATCACAGCTTTCTCAGTAGGTATCACTATACTAAATCTAAGAATTATCTAAAAAGACGATATCTATCGAATTCGTCACTAAATTCCCATGTTTTATTGGGACACCCTGTACATTAATATTAAAAGGGGAGGGGGGAGGCAGTGTTTGTTTAAACATAGATAACCAAATTCTAATTTTAGGATCGGAATATGGGGATTCGAGATTGCAATTTTGCATAATTGGCAAAGGGGGATTTTGGCGATTGCATCTTTAATGAAAGGGGATGTTGTAGTCTACCATAGACTAGGTTTATGTCCCGTACTGGTTCTCTTGGATAGGTTTTAAACTAATGTTGGTTGCTAAATCGTAAATATTTCTCCGAGAGCAGATTATTTATTATTTATTGTTTAAACTCAACACTTTTTCATGAAAACATTTAATGGGTGGTCCGGCAAAAAGCCTCCATTAGCCGGCGTAAATAATCCAAAATNATCAGTTTATTGATTTGGTTTTCAGTCCGGCCAGACTAATCCTGTAGGGTTAAAGAACAAACTTCTGATTCAGCTTGAACACTCATTTCTATAGTTCTTTAAAGTACTAGCTTCGGAACTCAGCTTTGCATGGAAACTAAGCTTTTTCTTTAAAATTCAACCCACTAAACAAGCTGTTAACAATCCTCAAGTTCTGCCAAGTTTTTAATCAAAACATGAGGCAAATTGGTCAAGAGGTTTACGAGTTATGATCGGACATACAAGCAATAATAAAATACGACGATTCCATCACATATTCTGCCAGGAGTTTGGTCATTAAATGGCTTATTTGATGAAGTTTACAGCTGCAGGGAATTATGAATATAAGGAAATAGACAGTACAGCTCTCAATTGAGTCTCATCCTTTGGGGGTAACCTTGTATATAGATTAAATATTAACCTGTATTCATAGCTTCATCGGCTATAGGTTCTTAATTCTTTGTTTAGTTAAAAAAAATGTTCAAGCAATAATCCTTTATTTTGTATCTGTAATCCTAGTTAAAAAATCAAAATCAAGAATGAATGCCAATTTGACTAACCAACAGAAAAAAATATTAAAAATGAATTGCTCCTTGATAAGCCTGTTAAATAATCTGATCATTAACAAATGGAATGAAAAAAGTCAAACAGTAATATATGAAGGTGCTATTAATTCNTATTGCTGGCCTGCTCAATAACATATCCTTAAAAAAGTCCTTTAAATCAATTTTATTGTAGATTTAGCATGAGCCAGTTAGTTACTTTGATAGTTATGAAACTGATCATACCTAAGTCATACTGTTGATAATTATTCAGTGCCTGCTGATCACCTAAAGTGTTTATAGGGCTTGTTTCTTTTACAGTTTTATTTGAATTACTGCCCAATAACATATCCTTAAAAAAGTCCTTAAGAAGAGCTTGTTGGGGGTCATTGAAAATGAACTAATGGCAATGTCTTTTGTTTATCTTTCCATTCTTTCTGTCTTTCAATAAACAGCTTTCTATACTAAATTCTAAATGACCACAGTTTTCCAGAGGCGCAACTAGCACTTTTGATANGGGGAACAAAATATTATTTTTTATTTTTCAAACAAAATTTTAAATAAAAGTGCGTTTTTAAGGGTTTTGAAGTTGGAAAAAATGAAATTTTCTGTTGTTGCTGTGTTAAAATCAAAAACATCAAAATACATATAACCCATAAATAGTCTCAAGTCTGTATAACATAGATGCAAATATGTATATAATTTTAATCATCAAAATTGAAAAAGGACAGATACTTTTACGTTTCACATGAAGTTATTGAATTTATGATTGATCATTCTAACCAACATTACTAATCTTATTTCATTTTCGATTTTATAGAAGTTCTGTCAAAGAAGATAAACCTTATCAGTTATGAAACATGATTATCAGTTAGAAATTTGCCAGGTTTAGAATGTTCTCTAGATTTGAAACATTCTAATCCCTAAATCTTTGCACTGAGTGATGTAAACCTTTGATATTTCAAACGAGATTATTTTACCAAAAGAATTCAAAGTTTCAAAGATAAAGGGATGAACATATGAGAGTTTGTGGAAAAAACTGGAAAAACAATCTGGTGCACATTTAGTTCTAACTTAGATCAGTATATTCTATAGTACAATATTTACATTAGCCTTGAGAATTGAGAAAGATAAAAATATTTTTTAAAACTAACTAAAGTATAATTTCTACAATAACTCTATTGGTTTTCTTATTCCTGTGATACTGATTATTGCCATTCTTTCTTTTCATTCTGCAGTTGGGCGCGCCCCCCCCTCTCAGATGCTAGGGAAGGGCACGCCCCTGGCCACCCCCACCCCTAGTTGCACCTCTGCTGTTTTCTAATGATATTAAAATTTATGAAATGTGTCGAATTAACACTTTTTGAGCTGGTTATCAGTCTCTTTCTTACTTGTGACAGACTCAATAAAAGGAATTAAAAATATGTTTATTTAGAGGATAATTTAACCAACTGTTGATATTTACCTATTAAGGTAAGTCTATAGCATATTAACTATTGCTAAGATGACTACTGTTAATTGCATAACCCAAGAAGTTTGATAATCATTCTCTCTTCTTAATTGTGCTTGCTTGGGGCATGTGTAGTCAATCAGAGGAATTTAATTGTATGTATCGTGTTACTGACTGTTGATATTTACCTATTTTTTCCAGTCGTTCATCATTATTTGTATGAGGAGCACTGTATATACCACCAGTGTATTGTTTTTTGTCTGCTTCTTCTCTTATATTGCATTTTTTGGCTTGTGTTTTTTACTTCAATTCGTATTTAAATTTTACTAGTATTTAAACCAAAATAAGTCATCTTCTCTGTGTATTACTACTGTCTAACTTAGATGACTACAGTTTTCATCCTACTCACTCATCTAACCAAAACACCAGAATATCTTTGACATTAATAATCTGTAATGCTTTTATCCAAAATAGTTTATACTTCAATTGAAAAATAATGTTCACCTGTCTGCTTTTGTTGCTCAAAGCTGTTTGATGCCAAATCAGAAATGCCTTCTAAAATTGAGGTTACCTTTATTTCATCTACTGATTCTGGACCGAACCCTATTTAGTTTAGTATATTAATTCAAAATTCAAAAGTTAGAAGTAGATTGTAAATGAGACGTTGATTAGAAAAAGTATAATAAGTTATACCTGGATGATCCTTTTCTAAAAGAACAATCTCTTCTTCATCAAGTTGGATTTCTAGTAAGAGAGGAAATATTTGTCTACATTGATACTAAGTTGAACATTTAAAATATGGAGGGACAAAAACATGGCTCGGCTCCATAAAATGAATTCTTATGGCTTTTGTTTTTCATCTAGTTACATCTAGTTAGAACTTACATTAACTCTATTGGTTATATAATTCCTGTGATACTGATTTTTGCCATTCTTTCTTTTCATTCTGTAGGCGGGCGCGCCCCCCTCTCAGATCCTAGAGGAGGGCGCGCACCCGACGGCCCCCCCCTAGTTGGACCTGCCTTGTTTTCTAATGATATTAAAATTTATGAAATGTGTCCAATTAATACTTCTTGAGTTGGTTATCAGTCTCTTTCTTACTTGTCCTTACTTGTGACAGAGTCAATAAGAGGAATTAAAATTATTTACATTTAATGGATAATTTTACCAACTGTTGATATTTACCCATAGTTTCCAGTCAACCACAAATGTTGATGTGGTAATCAGAGGAATTAAAATTATGTACATTAAAAGGATAATTTTACAAACCCATAGTTTCAGGTCTACCACAATTGTTGATGTGGTAATCAGAGGAATTAAAATTATGTACATTTAATGGATAATTTTACAAACTGTTGATATTTACCCATAGTTTCTAGTCTACCACAATTGGTGATGTGGTAATCAGAGGAATTAAAATTATGTACATTAAAAGGATAATTTTACAAACTGTTGATATTTACCCATAGTTTCTAGTCTACCACAATTGTTGATGTGGTAATCAGAGGAATTAAGTTTTAAGTTAAGTTTTTAATTTTACTCTTCCAACTCTTGTTGGTCTGCTCTATAAAATATACTTTAAAAAGTATTCTGTGTAACTTTTATTGTAGATTTAGCAGGAGCCAGTTCGTTACTTTGATAATATTTACAAAACTGATCCTACCTATGTCATCTTGTTGGTAATTATCCGCTGCCTGCTTATCACCTAAAGTGTTTATAGGGCTTGGTTAAAAATATGTACCTAGTTCTTTTGCAGGTTTATATTTATTACTCTCCATGTCATACCAAAATATGTCTGTATCACTTCTGGCTGACTTAAATGACTATAGCAATTTTCATCTTGCTCACTAGTTAATCTTTGTCAATCATATGTCCAAATTGATTCATACTATAGTTTTTAAGTTAAATTTTTACCTGTCTGCTCTTGATGCTTACAGCTGTTTGATGCAAAAACAGCATTTTCTTCAAAACTTGACCCTGGCTGTACTTCAGCTACTGATTCTGAACCCAATTCTGTACAGTTTAGTATATTAATTCAATATTCAAATTATTAGGATATTATCTTCTTCTGTAAAGAGTTAGGAGTAAATTGTAAAGGAGACGTTGATTGGGAATAGCTGTTGTACCTGGATGATCCTTATCAATAAGAACAATCTCTTTATCATCAAGCTGGGTTTCTAGCAAGAGAGGAAATGTTTGTCTACATTGATACTAAGTTGAACATTAAAAATATGGAGGAAATAAAACATGGCTCCATAAAATGAATTCTTATGGCTTTTGTTTTTCATTGCATTAGTATTTTTACTTTGCAAGTAAAATAAGCCACTAAAAGATAGACACTTACCCTCACTCATGACTGAATGATTAGAACTAAATATTTTGAAATAGATAACAAATAAATCAACTGAAATGTCTTTGATATATCCAAGTCAAAAATCATCAAGGAAGATACACCAGAGCTGGAAACTTAAGACAGGGTATCGTCATGAAACCCAGTATCAGAAACCCGGTTTCATAAATATTTGTGTTACAAAGTATTATTTTATTTGGTTTTTTTATAATTCCTCTTTTTTTTATTTCTTAAATCATAATCTACAGAAATGTTCAAACCACAAAAATGAGTTTTGTTTAACGATAATTTCTTAAATTTCGGGCACTGGAACCCCTTTAAATAAGTGTACTGCAGTTTCTGGAGAAATATGAACATGCTTGTGCAGTACTGTTTACATTCATTCCAGAAATTGCAATATTCTTTTTTTGTAAACAATGAGAAGAGAAAGGAATTGAGTTTTTGCCACAAACTCTAGGCGTAGGGCACGGTAAACTAGATGTCCTTTTTAAAATTCAAGTCAGTCTTAACTTTGGAACCCATTTTTACCCATTAAATGTAGGTTTTTCTTATTTGCTTTTTCATACTTCTTAGTTGGGCTACGTATTTAACATTTGTTAGTGGATATGATCTATTTTTTTAGTGGATATGATCTATTTTTTAGTGGATATGATCTATTTTTTAGTGGATATGATCTATTTTTTAGTGGATATGATCTCTATTTTTGAAAGATTTCGAATGAGAGATTAAAATATGGCGGAAAATATTCCGGTACAGACAAGATTCACTTCGTTGTATGTAGTTAGTTTAACGTGATGGGAGAAGGTGTTCTAATAGAATCTATGTATGAAAGTCAACGGAAATAAAGTTTCTGGAAAAAACCTGGAAATATAAACTTTTGTAAAAAGTCCCAATTTTCTGAAGTCCTAGGACAAAATGTCACTGGAAATAAAGTCCTGAGTCTTAGATTTCTTGGACTATTTTTCCTAAAATAGTATGGGGGCTGCCAATAAAGTCTCAGGAAATAAGATCACAGGAATTAAAGTCCTGAACAAAAAAGTCCTAAGTCTTGTGAAAATGAGTTCAAGTCTGAGACGTTTTATAAAAAGGACTTTTTTCTTAGAACTTTTTTGGCGGTTACCATTCTAATATGCATAAAAATAATATTGTTGTGACATTAACAATCTTAACCTTATACTATACACCCCCTAGGTTTATTTTACTACTAGATATTTTATGCTCAATCATTATTACAAGGTTATGAAAAGCAAACCCCGTTCTTCTCTTCAAACCACAGATCATTTAGGTTTTATGATGATTAGAGATTCATATATTCGTAGATTACAACAACGGATTAGAAAGTAAGTTTCTTGGGGTCACTAAATCTTGGGAGGG